TCTTGTACAATGTTTATTTGTTTCTGAAAAATCTTAACTTCTTCATAATTTTCGAATTGTTGATGTTCAGGTTCATTTTCTGGGTTCCAGCTTTGTAGCCATTGTGGCCCATGCCACCATAACTTATGATTCACTAAACTGCGCAGGTAATAGACCACGGCTGGCGCAGTCTGCTGGATTTTCCGACGTTTTTACATAATGCCAGCGTTCAGGAGGTATTACTTTTGTTATTTTGCCCACTCTATTAGCTACGAATACCTTCCACCGATTTTGATCACCTTTAATCCAGCTGAGAGCCACCATGGAATCGGACCATCCGTATATTTCTAGCTTGTTTGTTACTGATTGTTGTATTTTAGATATAAGTTTAGATAGTAAGTATGCACTGCTCAGTTCTAGTTTCGGTATTGTTAAGGCCTTTTTATGCGGTACAAGTTTTGATTTAGCAGCTATAATTATTACATCTGATTGATGTTTTATACGTGCATATGCGACACATCCATAAGCGTCCGTTGATGCGTCGCAGAATGCGTGGATTTCGATAATATCGTTTTTGTTATTTCTAAACCATCTTGGTATCTCACAATCTCGTATATTGTGAATATCCTTCTTAATAGAGTTCCATTCGTTAATAATGTCATCCGATACTTCGTCATCCCATTGTAAATTATTCTTCCATAATTTTTGGAAAAGTAATTTTAATTTAGTTGATAATGGTGTTAGCCATCCTAACGGATCAAATAGCTTGGATATCTCGGATAATAAGTTGCGTTTTGTTGGTTTAGATAATTGTTTAGCAAAATCAAATCTGAATAAAAAATTGTCTGTTTTTGTATCCCAACAAAGGCCCAGAGTTTTTGAAGTAGATTCTGATTTCAAATTAAATACAACGTCTGTGATTGTATCTTCATTTTTTGGTTGGTGTAAGTGTTCGATCAGTTGAGGTTCATTGGAAGCCCATTTTCGTAGGTTAAATCCTCCTGATTTTAACAGCGAAATTAAGTCATTTAATAGACTTTTCCCTTGTTCAATGAATGAAACCCATGGACCACGTCATCCATATAGCAATTGTTATCTAATATGTATGATGCATCCGGGAATGTTTTTTGTTCGTCAGCAGCAAGTTTCTTTAATGTCATTAAAGCCAAAAATGGCGCTGCCTTTGTTCCGTATGTTACTGTAGTAAGTTGATAAGATTTTATAGGTTGATTAGAATTGTTTCGCCAAATTATTTTTTGCAGATGTTGATCCAATTCGCTTACCTGAATTTGCCGATACATTTTTTCAATGTCAGCGGTATATGCGAATGGATATTGCCTCCACTTGAGTAATAACAATTGCAAATCTTGTTGGAGGTTAGGTCCTTTATGCATTAAATCATTGAGGCTGTACCCAGTTGATGTGCGAGCGGACGCGTTAAAAACTACTCTATATTTCGTGGTAGTTGATTCCTCCCGTTGAATACCATGGTGCGGTAGATAGCAGTCTGGTGTAATGTTATTGTTAAGTGCTAATTTCATGTGTTTTAATTCTAAATACTCGTTCATAAATGTTTTGTAATGTTGTGACAATGTTTCTGAGCGCTGGAATTTACGCTCTAGGCTTCGGAACTGTGCCAAGGCCATTGGCTTTGATGAACCTAATTTGTTTTCTATATTTTCTTTCATGGGCAAACGCACTTCGTATCGTCCATCTTCCTTTCTGCTTGTAGTTTTCAAAAAGAAGGAGACACTTTCTTGTTCTTCCACAGACATGTTTGATGGCTCTGTTATTTCTTCTACCTCCCAAAATTTGTGTATGTCCTCCAAATCATGTAAGACAACATTACACCGAAATGTTTTGTTAGTGCCCCCACATAATATCCACCCGAGGTGGGTTTGTTGAGCTATAGGTTGGGATGGGTCAGATCCCTTAATTATACCTTCCATGAGAATGTTAGCATAGACTTCGGCCCCAAGTAGCAAGTCCACAGGTTTACTTATATAGTACTCAGGGTCCGCCAATTGTATGCTTTCAATAAAAGACCAGGAGGGCTTGTTAAATGTTTGATTAGGGAGATTTTTGAGGAGATTGTTCATAATTAGAACTTGTGTTGAGAACTTATAGTCGCTGTTAGTTGATTTACATGTTATGTTGAGCATTCCTTTGCAGGTATTTTGTTTTTCACCCACTCCGAGAACGGTACCTTTACATTTTTGACGCTTAATTTTTAACATCTGAGCAGCCCTTTCTGTTATCAATGAGATTTGCGAGCCCTGATCGATAAGAGCTCGCATGACATGGTAAGTACCATCAGCCGCTATTACGCTTACAAGCGCTGTTGCAAGCAAAATTTCCGTGTTACCATCCTGGGAAGCATTCGATACTTTCCCACAGTTCGTATCACTTTTAGTAACTTGAGAGGTTGACTTAATAAAAGCGTCATGTAATAATGTATTATGAGGAGCCATACATTTGCGACATTGTTTTATTGAATTGCATTGTTTCCCATTATGGCTAAACAAACAATTTATGCACACTTGCAATTTCCTTGCCGTTGCAAGTTTTTGTTCACAAGGCAATTCTAGGAAAGTTTTGCAATTGTACAATCCGTGTTCACCGCTGCAACGTGGACATTTGATCCTGGACACGTGAAACGATTTTGTTTGATGTTCGCGGTTCTCATAATTATGTTTGTTTAATGTTTGATTTAAGTTATGTTTCTTAAAGTTTGTTGATGATTGAGACGAAATGTTAAAACCACTCTTATGGTGGGAGGTATCTTGTTTACGACGAACTGATTCTAAACTAATAAATTTAGTTTCCAAGAAATCTAAAAATTCTTGTAGAATCGGTAGCTCTCGGGAATTTTTGAGTGACTCAATATAGTCGTAATAGGAATCAAAGTCCAATTTTTGGGATAAGATGTGGACTACCATCGGATCCCACGTACTTATATCAATATCCAAATTACGAATAGCATTAAGGCATTCTAATGTTGTATCATGTATTTTCTTAATTTGTGGCAATGATTGCTGTTGTGTAGATTGTATTTAAGTGGGCAGAGAATATTGCCCTTTTATTGTTGTATCGGTGTTGCAGAATGTCCCAACATACAGAATAATTATCCGAGCTTATAGATAAATGTTGGATTAACCGTTCGGCTTCGCCTTTGACCTTGCCCTTTAAAAATTGCATTTTTTGGGCATTCGAAAGCGCAGGATTATTGTGTATGGCTTCTTGAAACAAATCTTTGAAGGACATCCATTGGTTGAAATTGCCGTGAAAAGTAGGTATTTCTAGTTTAGGGGTAGACTTCTCCCTATGAACTACAGACCACATTTTAGTATTAATTGCCTTTTTTAAAGTGTTGAATTGCTTTTCGTGAGATAAATAACTTTCTTCGTATTCTTCGTTTTGATCAATTAATTCAGAATCAATTTCCCAGTGAAGAGAATCTATTGTAGACCACCTAGTTTGCAATGTTTTAAGAATATCTTCAAATTCCCATTTGTCCGAAATATGCTCTAAATTAATGTTTGAGACAGTTCTAGAAAAAGCTTTAAAATTAGCTGCCTGCTTACGCAGTAAATCGTTTAATTTGTTATTTGTGCCTTGATTCACCTGCCATGCGGGACGATTTGTTAAGCTAAATGCTTTTGTTTTATGTTCTTCTCTCGACTGCTGTTCTGTTGATAACTGCTCCGTCTCCGACTTCATTTCTAACGACATACTCTCGGTAGGCTGCTCGTGACCTCCACTGCCAGACGGAGCTTCCAGCAACTGTTGTTGCATCTCATTGATTAATGTTCTCACAGCTTTATACGATTTTAAAGTCTTCTCAAATTCTTGTTTTGTAAAATAAGCATGCGTCGAGCTTATTTCCGTAGTAAGGCGATCATGATTGTACTGGAATTCTTTCCAGTAATCATCTAAATTATTTAAACATCTTTTAAGATATTCAAATGTTCGTCTTTGTTGAGTTGTTTTCTTTAGATTAATACCGATTTTTTCAATGTTAATGGCGAGAGCTAATTGAGAATCGTATAACTCAGCCATGTTTTTAAGTTAACTGCGTAAGTCTTCCAAAGCAAGAGTTAATAATGGAAAGATCTTACTTGTTTGCTGTTATACCACCGTCAGGATTCCGATGGCCAAGGAACGAGCACCAGCGCTGGACATCACTTTAGTCCTCACAATACGCACTTACAAAGTTCACACCACACTCGCGTTCACTTTCGGCTCGCGAGATATCCGGCTCGAAGGACCATTATGTACGGGGTGTAAGGTCGTAGGTAGATATCAAACGCATAAGTGACCGTAAAAGTTTATTGTTCAAATGGAGTTCAAAGCACTTTCTTAATGTTAATGTTTAATGTTAAAAAATGTTAGAAATGTTAATGTTTTGTTATATGATGAATGCACCCGTTCTGTTCGCGATCGACAAGTACACTAACGTGTCGTATGTTCATGTTAGGACAATACATGAAAACTGCTTCGCAAGCAGGTGTTCGGGTTTACACCGAACAAGTTGAATGAACTTTAAGTAAAAAATCAATCTTCTTAATCCAAGATTTTGATCTTAAAAGATCATTGCAATCGGTCGTTAATAAATAAGACCTCAATAAGCCTTTAAATTATGTTATCTCTTTAATCGCTTTTTTCATACAATAACAACTAGTCTAATGTAGGAATACTCAAACGCTACTCAATTTTAAGTCGCGCTTAAGTATAGTTTTGTCTCCACAAAAATGACAGAGATGGCACGATATTTAAGCACGACTTAAAATTGAGTAACGTTTCAGTATTCTGGCATATGCCGCATATGCAAGCATGCTTCATTATTATTGCAATATAAGTGAATAATTATTAGACCTGAATCTAATGAAAACTGCAGTTACAAATACACCTAAATCTGATTATGATACACTAAAGACTAACGTTAAATATAATCCACTTCTGAACTACAGTGTGAGGATCCAATTAAAACACCCCTAAACATGATTTCTATATAATTCCAGGTAGCATGGTTCATTCCGATGCTGGTAGCCGCGATAGCATATTACCAGTTTGATGCCACAGACCCTGAGGGCAGGCCGGCAGACATTGGTGATACCAACATGCTGCCAGAATACGACTTCATCATTGTGGGAGCTGGATCAGCTGGTTAGTGGGTACAAAACTTTGGATCTTATATTTAGACAAGGAGGAAAGCTCTGTTTTAGATTTTTTATGTTATATTTTAAATCCGCTATTAAAAATTAAAACAAAAATTCGAATAAACAATGATATAAGACACAAAATTAAGAATAACAGATATTTTTTGTGATAAGATCAACACTTTAGAAACAAAAGTACTGATATATCATATCGCTTTCAGGTGCAGTGGTAGCGAATCGGCTATCAGAAGTGAGTCACTGGAGGATATTACTCCTGGAAGCTGGTGGGGATGAGACGGAGATATCGGACGTCCCTCTCCTCGCTGGATACCTCCAGCTCAGCAAACTCGATTGGCAGTATAAGACTGAGCCGTCGGGAACAAGTTGCTTAGGTAAGGAGCCTTCAGTAATTCTGACAACAAGTTATGTTTTTATTTCCTTTTTTATAAATTTTGTCTGCGCTCTAATAAAGTTTGCTTTCCATAGGTTAATATCTCTTTATCTGTATTCCAGCAATGGAAGGCGGCCGATGCAACTGGCCTCGAGGCAAGGTGCTCGGAGGCAGCTCAGTCCTGAACTACATGCTCTACCTACGTGGTAATAAAAAGGACTACGACTCCTGGGAAGCCATGGGCAACAAAGGCTGGAGCTACAAGGACGTTCTTTATTATTTTAAGAAGTCAGAAGATAATAAAAATCCATCTTTGGCACAGACCCCATACCACAGCACTGGAGGATATCTTACTGTCTCAGAAGCACCCTATCACACTCCTCTAGTTTCAACGTTCATTGATGGAGGTCTTGAACTAGGGTACATGAACAGAGACATAAATGGAGAGAACCAAACTGGATTCATGGAAGCACAAGGAACGATCCGACGAGGTAGCCGATGTTCTACTTCCAAAGCCTTCCTAAGACCAGCTAAGGATCGCCCCAATCTACACATCTCTATGTATTCTCATGCCACCAAAGTGATGATAGACCCTCGAACTAAAGTCGCTTTTGGAGTCGAATTTGTGAGAAATAAAATGATCTACCGCATCAGAGCCAGAAAGGAAGTCATTCTCTCAGCTGGTACTGTCAACTCTGCACAATTGTTGATGTTATCTGGAATTGGACCTGCTGAGGAGCTGCATAAACACAAAATACCTTTGATACAGAATTTAAAAGTTGGAAGAAACTTACAGGATCATATTGGGTTGGGAGGTCTAGCGTTTATGGTCAACCAGCCTATATCTATTGTGGAACATCGTCTTTACACTGCTGGGCCATTGATGGAGTATGCCATGTTAGGTGAAGGACCTTTGACCATTATGGGCGGCGTCGAAGGCTTGGCGTTTGTCAATACCAAATACGTAAACGCATCTGACGATTTCCCAGACATAGAATTTCATTTTATTTCTGGATCAACTAATTCTGATGGTGGGGAACAGATTAGTAAGGTACACGGACTCATGGATACCTTCTACGATGCTGTATTCAGACCAATAAATAATATGGATGTCTGGAGCATAATTCCTATGCTACTCCGACCGCGAAGCAAAGGTTTTATTCAGCTACGAAGCGCAAACCCTTACGACTACCCATACATCTATCCTAACTACCTATCAGATGAAAGAGATTTGAAAACACTAGTAGAAGGTGTAAAAATTGCTGTAGCACTTTCTAGAACGAGAGCGTTTCAAAAATATGGCTCTGTATTGAATAAGCATGTCTTTCCTGCGTGTGTGAGTATCAAGAGGTACTCTGATGCGTACTGGGAATGTATGATCAGGCAGTACACTTGCACTATCTACCATCCTGTGGGGACAGCGAAGATGGGGCCCTATTGGGATCCTGATGCGGTTGTAGACAACCAACTACGAGTGTATGGAGTGAAAGGGTTACGTGTCATAGACGGCAGTATCATGCCCAACATCGTAAGCGGGAACACAAACGCCCCTATCATCATGATAGGCGAGAAAGGAAGCGACATGATCAAAGAATTTTGGTTAAAACGAAGAAGTTCCAGATATTACATTTAATCGACGTACAAAACAAAGTTTCTATCAGTATTATGGACGAGTGAATGTTGTTGTAAATATTTCGTGTCTCCACTGATTATTGTGAATTTATTTATTTCCTATTTATTTGTAGCACGTAGTTGTAATTTATTCGGGTAAGGATAGGTCGTGTTCATAGACAATAAATGACTTTATTAAGACAATGTGTTTTCTCTCGTGTCGCCATTTCTAGGTCAGAGACCTGCGATGTCATAATACGTCGTCAGTAACATGCTGACACTAATTGATTATTGTGATACGATGAATTAATTATAGAGTAGTAAAATAAATAACAGACTGGGTTCAAAGTACATAATCAGTTACAATTAATTCACATGCATATTGTTTTTATATTACTACTAAATTAAATCATAGTAACAATTAAATGTTTTCGGAAATATGAAAAAGTTGTGTGTATGTATACTCCTTTCGTCCTAAATAATTATGTTATCCATTCTTCATGTAGTATAAAAATAGGTCTAAAAATAAAAATCTCATATTTGACACTCTTAGTACTAAGACGCTGACCATGCAAACTGCATTAAGACTAGGACACAATGCAATAAACTAAAACTGTTTTAAGAAATCTGTTACAACAATATTCTAATTAATTACTCTGTGTAAGATTCACAAGTGTCACAATAGCAACATAATAAACAATAACTTATACATTGTGCCGAATCGGCAGCCATTCAATTTAATTCCATATCAGTGTCGGTGCATCAGTCGCGTGTGTGTTATTATTAGTATGGTGTCATCATGTCGAGTCACAGTTCACCGTCACTACGAGGGCTCCTCTCCAATAACAGGATCACCTTCGGGCTACTTCCAGGACTCGGTATCGTGATAATACTCCGCATGGCCATACATCTCTACAGACCTGACATCGAAGACGCCGAGAATCGTGTCAGAGATCACCCCTTTGAGCAACTCTACGATACGTATGACTTCGTCATAGTTGGCGGAGGATCTGCTGGATCAGTCTTAGCTAACAGACTGTCTGAAAACCCTAACTGGAAAATACTTTTGTTGGAGGCAGGACAAGATGAGAATGTATTATCAGAAGTACCAGTTTTGTTCCCCGTGCTACAAACTTCGTCTATTGATTGGCAATTTTTAACTGAACCTAGTGATGCATATTGTTTGAGTATGGTGGAAAAGAAGTGCAAGTGGCCTCGTGGCAAAGTGCTCGGTGGTTCTAGTGTGTTAAATGCTATGCTATACATAAGAGGGAATAGACGGGACTACGATAACTGGGAACGTATGGGGAATCAAGGATGGGGATATGACAGTGTGTTGCCTTACTTTCTTAAATCAGAAGATATGAAGATCCCTGAACATCAGAACGATCCATATCACGGGACTGGTGGCCCTCTGACAGTTGAATACTTCGCTTACGAACATCCAATTACAAGAGACATTTTGAAAGCTGGTGAACAGCTAGGGTACGAGATCCGCGACGTGAATGGAGAGTTTCAAACTGGTTTTACGCGGTCCCAAGCAACAGTTCGTGAAGGACTTCGTTGTAGCACTGCGAAAGCTTATTTACGACCAGCATCAAAGAGGGAGAATCTCCATGTAAGTGTGCATTCATTGGTAGAAAAAGTGCTGATAGACGAGCAAAATGCTGCGTATGGAGTTCAATTCAGGAAACATGGACAAGAACGTATCGTAAAGGCAAGCAAAGAAGTCATATTATCTGCTGGAGCGATACAGTCTCCACAGCTACTGATGTTGTCCGGTATAGGTGAAGCGGACCACCTAAAAGATGTTGGAATACACCCGATAGTTAATCTTGTTGGAGTTGGGAAGAATCTTCAAGACCATATTGCTATGGGAGGTCATTCATTTCTCTTTGACAACCCCTACAAGAATGGTACACCTTACTGTTTTAATCTACCTGAAGTTTTAACAGTAGCAAGTCTAGTAGACTTTAGCGTTCATAAGAGTGGACCACTATACAGTATGATGGAGGCTGAAGCGATGGCGTTTGTGAGTACTAAGTATCAAGATCCTAGTGAAGATTATCCTGACGTACAGTTATTCATAGCTCCTACGGCAGATAATTTGGACGGGGGTTGGTTTGGTAAGCGAGCCAATGGGTTAACAGACGACACTTACGCAGCACTTTATGAAGACATCCTGTATGAGTCTTCGTTTTCCATAGTGCCACTATTACTGAGACCAAACAGCCGCGGATACTTGAAACTACGAGATGCAAGCCCCAACTCCCCACCGCTGATTTACCCAAACTATTTCAGTGACCCGCAAGACATTAAAGTATTGGTACGTAGTTTACTATTTATAAAGACCTTCAAAGTAATGTTATAATACAAACAAACATTGTATATTATTATCTCTTCGATAAACGTTAAATAGCCACAAATTAAGACTAACACAACATAAAATGTTATAATTTTGATAAAACGCATTGAAACGTTAAGTGTGATTATATTATTGCTGTCAATGGGTCACGGAAGTGAAAGGTTATAGTAATTATTGTAAAACATCATTATGTTATTAAACATGATTGTAATTACTTCAATAATTTATTGCGAATTATGTTAGCAACGTAGATTTCGATGGTTTATCTTATGTATGAAAAAAGAACTATATTATCATTTAGTGTTTATTTCAAATGGCTCAGATTAAAGAACATGATAAATATTATGAGATACTAACTGTGGTGACTAATAGAAATTAATTCAGAAAACTAGTCGCCGATTATTTGATGCCTTTAAGTTTGACATATAAATTACTTTAGAAAAAAGAGGTAAAATAAATATTCTACCTTTAATTTATGACTCGTAAAATTGTGAAATATACACGTACAGACTATTTTTTCCGGCCAATTGTAACAGTCATCGCTTTTTCCAGATCGAAGGTGCTCGAATAGTGCAAGCAATTGTGAATCAACCAGCTCTTCAGGAACTGAATGCTCGACCAAACCCTCGTCGGAACCCTGGCTGTGCTCACCACGAGCTAATGTCTGAAGAACACCTGGAATGCCAGGCGAGGCATCATTCCCTCACGATATACCATCCAGTAGGCACCTGTGCTATGGGCCCAGCTGAAGACCCTGAAGCTGTAGTTGATTCCAGACTGAAGGTAATATTTGAAGACCAAATACACAATACTTTATTATTAAAAGGTTTATGATCCCTATAATCCATAGATTACCTTACTAGAGAAAGAATATTGACACTAGCTTCATACATACATACATACATAACTTCACGCCTGTTTCCCATGGGGGTAGGCAGAGACTAGGGAACGCCGATTACATACAAGCTTCATACTCCATAAAACATTTGTTATAGTATTGCATTTATTTATTTTGACTTGACAGCCTGCCATCTCGCTCTTTATCACCATAAGGGGTATAGGCAGAGGTGTTAAATAACAACGGATCAACATATTAACATATCAGTTTTTAATAATTTTTACTACTTCGGGGATAAAAGGCGTGATGTTATGTTATGTTTTTACTAATCATTTTATGAAGCCCGTTGTAATAAGGGGTGAACCTATTGTTATACACTAGACATTCAAGATCCTATGCTCCAACACCGTTTAATTAATTTCCAGGTATATGGCATCAATAGACTTCGAGTGGTCGACGGTAGCGTAATGCCAACAATAGTGAGCGGTAACACTAACGCACCCATCATTATGATAGCAGAGAGAGCAGCTGACATGATCAAAGAGGATTGGGGCGAGATTATCCTTGAACCAGCGTACACTGTACCAGACCCGGTCTACCAGCAACCTACGAACACGGAAAATGATGAGCCAACAAAGATCCGACTGAAAACATCACCAGATCTTTTTAATGAAACAAAGAGTATCTTTCCATCCCTTTTTAGCTATCCTGAAAGAACACAGGACTACGATATTCACAGCCAAGTTGCATCTCCGTCTTATACAAGTGAAAAACCTTTACTAACTGAAATATCTCAGAAAATATGGCCTCTGAATATTCCACGTCGTAACTCAAAAGTTCGTCCACAGAACCCTTTAACGAAATATTTTTATGGACGTCCTCGAGGAAGGTTTAATCCATATTATCCCCTAAATATCCCTAATTATGGTGCAAATTACGGATTATCTCGGCCTTTATTCCCTTCTTCACGATTAGGTAACCAGCTTTACAAGAACTTACGTTCAGAACCGAATCCTTTTTATTATTATGGTGGTGATGGGCCTAGTTATTATGGGAGAAGTGAAGTAGCTTCTCCTGGTGAAAGAAAAAAGTGCAAGCTATGGCTGTATTATAACGGTGAAAAATATGAAGTAGATTATTGAGTATTTTTACATTATTGTCTTCATTTATATAGGTTTAAGTATTTATTAATAAACCATTTATCCAAACATTGTTTTATTTATTTCAGTTAGGTTACATAAAATAAAATTCATATTGGACCGTCTCATATTTCAATTTGCGTCACAACACAAACTGAGTCACTGGTTGAGTCGTCTCACATGTAACTGTTGAGTCTGAGCTAACAGGTTCAATTCGCATTGCACCTAAATTATACACACAGTCATTCATACTCCACTGTTATCGCATCCACAATTAGAGGAAGGGATGAACTATAGCGCATCACCTTCTAACTACGATACATACTTCTTCAACTTCTATCTTACCACACAATCACGCCAGTTAGGTATTGCTGTTGTAAAACAAATCTGCTTACTAAACTAAGAAATGCCGTCCTATTATTTAAAAATGTAATAAAATATGTATGGATTAGTAATAATAAAATGCATATGAACGTAAGTTCATGTGCATTTTATATGCATTTTGCATGTTCATACATTTTATTATTTTATTACTAGCAATCCGCCCCGGCTTCGTACGACGACAAGCATTGCACCTTATGTAAAAAATACCTACTACAGAATGTCCTTATACACAACGGTCATAGCTTTGTTGTCGTCATGCGTTTTACATATTAAACTTTCCTTAAGAATCACTCTATCAATTAAAAAAACCGCATCAAAATCCGTTGCGTAGTTTTAAAGATCTAAGCTATGAAAATAGGGACAGACAGACGGTTGATAGATTGATAGATCCGTAACTTGAGATAAGGGCAGGATTTTTGACACTAAAATGTATAACAGACATATAAAACTAAAATCTCAACCCATGTCGGGATTTGAAAGTTACATTAGTGCACGCTAGCTGCCTGTTATTGACGAAAGCAATTTCACAAACACAAAAATAAAACACATCACACCACCTGCAGAAGTTGCAGAAGAAATGACAGTAGAATGCACAAATATTTGGTCCCTACGGAAAATAATCCTGCCAAACCCATAACGCGACATGCTATAACTGCGCTATACAATCCTGATTACGACCCAAACCTTCCTCACTCGTATGACAATTAGAATGGCAGTGATTACAATTATTGTTTGTGACAAAAAAACTATGTGTAACAAATATCTAGGGCCCTGTCATATTCACGAGACCAAGTAACATACTAATTTGGTCGCGAGCCACTCTATCAAATCCCGGAGGGTTAATTGCCGAAGATAAGACCATAAAAAGATAATTAAACTTTTTATCAAAAGCAATACAACCTTGAAAATACAATAGCATTAATGTGGTCAAAGTGTATCTCCCTCGTCAGCTTTAGTAAGATAACATACTAAGGTTTAATTTCCTTTAAATCTAAATTTTATGTTAAGGTGCATTCTCAGAGAGTAGTAATACACATAACATAACATAACATAACATCACGCTTTTTATCCCCAAAGGGGTAGGCAGAGGTGCACATTATGCGATTGTACAATGTAACACCCACTTTTCACAATTTATGTTATGAGTCCCATGTAATAGGGGGTGAGTCTATTCTATTGCCATACACCGGGCACAATTCCAGACTCCGTGCTACTACTGAGAATATTTTTTAAAACCCAGTAAAACTTTGCCCGACCCGGGAATCGAAGCTGAGACCCGTTGTTCGGCAGTCGCACTTCCGACCACTCGGCCAACGAGGCAATCACAAGTAATGTACCTTGCAAAATTGACTATGGCTTTCCAGTCGCATGAAGTAGCTAACCTTTACCTTTTTTATTGAAGGGAGTAAATCCAATGACTACTCCCGTGAGGCGAGAGTATCAGACTCTTACTGACTAAGAACTACCCTGTACCTACTTCTGCTTCGAGCCGATCTCCTAGTAACCCCTTTAGGTTGTCTGCAGCTCCGGTTCGAAGCTGGAGTAGGAACGAGATGGTTTTTAGACAGTAACTGTCTGACACTCTCTCTCGCCGCTCCTAAGGCGTGAGAAATCATAGGATGATTTTCGCCCCACAAAAAACAAAATGGTCCACATTCATTACTAATTTAACCCTTAGAGCGCCACGTCAGTCACCGGTGCCTGACGCTAGTGGAGGTTTGACTTTCACCATTTTAAACTTGGCAGTTAAAGTATTAATGACCAACTCTTTTTAACATACAGAATATGCTTTTTATATAATTATCCTAACCCTCAAGACTTACAAGAAAAGCACAATAAAGATGTGAAAGCAATAGAAGAATTGGACAGAATCACACGTGACGACTTCTTTCTTTCGTTCTTTTTTAAAAACGTTGGACACTAGGATTTTCTACTGTACCTACCGTGGGTGCGTTTACAAACATACAAGTTTACATACACATGACACCCAGACACGGAACAACAGTCTGTGGATCACACAAAGAGTTGCTCCGTCCGGGAATCAAACCCGCGACACGTTGGGCGGCAGCCAGTTGCCCAGCCACCGCACCAACCGCGCAGTCAAGCCGCGCGATGGATAGAACTTGTTTAATAAAGAATTATATTAAATTAAAACTAAAAGTGCCAAAGTAATGGCACCATAATAGAATATTTGTAAATGATGACTAGATTATATTATAACCGTCGTGAGACATACTAAATTAATGACCGCGTCGCGTGTCTCATAATGCTGCTCATGAATATGAGCCTCTAGCATGGCTTGAAACTAGTCGAGTTCCTCGTTAAACAGTTACGTGAATTGATGAGAAGATTAATGATAAAAAAGGGAAGAAAACATTGCGTCAACTTTTGGAAGGTTTACATTACATGGATTCATTTTTTTTTTAATATTATGTTCATAAAACAAAACTTTATGCTATATCCAGTATTTTCAGCATTTCGGTGACCAGATAGTCTGCACGAGACTTAAAAATCGAATGTTTACACTAATATTATAAAAAGGAAAGATTTGATTTGTTTGTTTGTTTAAATTTAATAGGCAAAAGATGTACTAGAAAAGCACAGTAAAGAAGGAGAAAGTCTTATAGATAACATAAATATCAATGTAAAAGTCCGGGATATTATAATATGACTATCTATTACAGTTACGGTACTATAAACTACTTTTTCACATAAAAATATGCACTAATAACGCCGCGCCGGTAGAAACCAGGCCACATTATTAGTACCAGAGTAATATCCCGATAATCCCAGAAGAACGGGAACTATGTTCTATGAAAACTATATGTTCAATGAAAAGGCCCCGTGTGTCAAACAAAATGTGCTTGCGACTTAGAAAAGTTTTACAAAATCGCTATGGGATTGTATATTTTTTGAAGCCACGAAATTAAATTTATTTTCACAATAAATATAACTTAGTTACTCAATCGATTTTGATGACATTAATTAATACAGCCGTAGAATGTACCTCGGAAAATACCACTTAATTAAAAAATCCAAATTCTACTAGAAGTTATGATCCTACGCGGACAAAGTTGTGGGGAACAAGTAGTTTAAAATAATTTGATAAAAGTTACATAAAAAATCAGAGGTTACAAATTAGTGCCCATTACGATAACTTAGCAATAACACAATTGCAATTATCTCCATGTGACGTATGATGGGTACCTAAAATGCTGGGTATTTATATCTGGACCAGTCCCAAAGCAAATCATTCTGCCAGCTCTCTTGGAACTGTCAGCTTCATACACTTCTATAGTAGGAGCTGATCAACAAGAGGTGAGTTAACTTCAAAAACTTATTCAAAATCTTATTGAGTTCATTTTATTTCTATCATCTTCTCTCCTACTCTTACTGGGAGGTCTATTGAACCAACTCTATTACTTTGAATTGGTTACTTTTATTTTTTTCTCTTGGCTCAAATAATTAAAAATCAAAGATAAAATCTCAAATGGATCAAAGATATTTTGGTTCCTACATCTTTAAAAAAATGTTACTCCAAGTTTTGGATCAATAACTTTACCTGTTTTTCCGTATAATTAGTATTCGACATTTATTGTCATTTCAATTCCAAGCACGAATTACGATTATAGTTTCTGTAAATAGCTATCTTCTATTTGCTATATTGACTAACAATTCCTTTGCACCAGGCCAAGATGTCGTGGGCGTGTGACCCGGCGCTGACCGCCAACATCGTGAACAGTTACCAGACAGTTGGTCCACTGTTCATGCAAACACTGCAGACGTTCTTCGCTGCCCAGTGTGCACTGGTCGGAGACCACTTGTGGCCCGCTGACGCCATCGACAAGGTTCTTGAAGGTAAATAATAGACATTATATTCTATTGTTACAGTATTATGTATCAATTTAATATTGCACAATGTAAAGTGTCACTGTATGCGTGTCAAGGAAGATCAGCACATTAAGCCAAATGTTTTCTTTCCAGACCCCTACTACGACTTCATAGTTGTGGGAGCAGGGTCAGCAGGATCAACACTCGCCCATCGATTGAGTGAGGTCCCAGAATGGAAGGTTTTACTTGTAGAAGCTGGAGGCAACCCTACCCTGAACACCGAGGTATATACCATTTCTTACTGTCTTATAGTAATCAACAGTCAATACAGTAACTTATAAAATACCGCGATTACATAATAATATCAATGTCATTCTTTTACAGATTCCCCACCTGTTCTACAACAACATGCGCAGTCCTCAAGATTGGGCCTACAAGACTCAGCCTCAAGAAGGTGCTTGCAGAAGTTACACAGCTAAAGGATGCGCCTGGCCTCGTGGTAAGGCACTCGGTGGCAGCAGCAGTATCAACTTCATGTTCTACGTCAGAGGAAACAGGGCTGACTACGACGAATGGGCAGCTGATGGTAACTACGGATGGAGCTACGATGAAGTCCTCCCTTACTTCATTAAGAGTGAGAAATTCACTGGAATTTACAATGAACAGAACAAGAAATACCACAACTGGGAGGGTAACCTCAATGTTGCTGTTGACAAAGAGTCTCACGACTTCGAGCACATGATCATCAACGCTGCTGTCGAACTTGGATTGAAGAACTCATCTGACAT